TTTATATGAGTTGTCATGACTCTTTCCTCCTTTATTCAAATATGTCGTGATGTTAACAAACAAAAAAAGAAATACGAAATTTATTTTTCACAAGCATTGACGTTCACGCAAATAAAATATTATTGACTATTATTAGTATTAATTTGAATTTCAACAATCGTAGGATTGTCAGTTAAGGATAAAAGATATGTATTTTTTATTGGTGATGAAACGATACTATGAATTGAACCAAGACCAAATTGAAATAGTTGAGAATTATGCTAGAAAATAATAGAAGAGATAAAAATATTATTTTTTTTTTGAATTTTTACTTCATTATCATTTTGAAATAAACGAAGTTGACCATCTTTACCACAACATAGAACAAGATTTGATGAAAGATTAATTGCTGATATATGAGTATCAATTGTAGATTTATCTATACAAAATATCAGGTTAAATTAAGCGCGTAATACAACAGAACATACCTAATACATTGCACATTATTGGATGTACAATTCGATCCCATTCAATATTATGAAGTTTTTTTGCTCTATTAATTTCAAATGATGGTAATGTCCCTATAATTATATTTATATAAAATCTTGAAATAATTCATATTTATACTTACAAATATTATAATCATTATCAGTATAAATAGCGAGAAGATATTTCGTATCAACTGACCATATGACACTATTTACAGCTGCTGTATCATTCTAAAAGAATTAATTAAAATAGATTTAAAAAGAAACATCGAAATTATTACTTGAAGTATTCCGTCAGTACGAAGATGAAAATCTCCATTACCTATGACATCAAATATACAAACATTTCCATTATGTAATCCAACAGCTAGATTTAAACCATCAGGAGAAAATCGAACGGATTTAACACCTGTATTAAATTTTAATGTTATTGTTGTTATATAAAATGATGATAAAGTATCATAAATTATTAATTTGCTTATTTCCGTTCCAAGAACTATAATATTTCGTTGAGGATGTAAATCAGCACACGATATTGGTTGCTATAAATATAAACATTATTACTATTTAAAATTTGCATCAAATTTACTGTAGATTTTGTTGACCATTCAACAGATTTTGTTCTATCATTCCATTTAAATAAATGTCGATCGGAACTTATAGAAAAGAAATAATGACTGTCGTTATCACAACATATACATGTTGTTGGACTTGTATGTCCCTAAATAAATCAACTAATATTTATATTAATGTTTTTATATGAAACAGACTCGCATAATAATATTAAATTGTTCGTTTCCAATTTCTTTTGAAATGATATAATTTAATTTCGTTCCTATAGCTAATGTAACTGAATTTGATGCTCGTCGAATACGACAAACCGATTGAATTGAACCCATATTTTCATTTAACTGTTACAAAAGAAAATTATTTGTAAGAACAAAAAAAAACCAGAAAACTTACTCGTATTTGTTCAGTAGTATCTGATTTAACATTCCAAAATTTGATTTGATTTTGTTTATTAGCAAGGAGAAATGTTTCGTGATTAATTGATATAATTATTTCAACATCATTCTAATATTTCAAAAACAAATTATACATATTATATATAAAAATCATTAATTATATTACTTCTACGAGACATTCTTGAACAACAACTAATTTTGGTTCATTATCAATTAAACTCCAAACATAAATATTACCAACTTCATCACCAACAAGTAATCGTTCACCTCGAATATCACATGCTGCTGCGCCAGTATAAATATTCTAATATTCAAAAATTTATTCAATAAATTTAATATTTATTGAAATATGTCTTACTTGAACTTCGGATTCACGTCGTTCTAACATACGTAATGGTCTTAAACTCCAATTGACATGATAAAAAAGTAAATGTCGTTGACTAATACATGCAATCCATTCTGTTGTATCGAATACAAATAATACCGATAGTATATTATCAGATTTACACTAAATAAGACAATCGTTTCGAATCATTTGACTATTGTTTTAATACTCACTGTAATACTATAGATCAATTCATTTCGTTTCCAATCAATGAATAAAATAATTTTAGGTTTATCTCGTGAAATAATCAATAGTAAATTATCATCTGGTTTTGGCGAAAATGATAATAAAGATATAAACGAACCAAATTGTTCTTTATGTATTTCACGTATTGTTTCAAGTTTAACATGATCCCAAATATGTACTAAAGCTCGTTGATTATTTTTCACTGAACTTATTTCACTTGACGCAACTAATGATTGAGATTGATGTATATTAACACTAATAAAATTCGAAATAAGAAATATCTATTGATTGATATTTAAAATCATTCTTACGCAGTTATTGAAGAATTATGTTTTGTATAATAACGTTGTTGTTTTAAATTTGTTTCGTATAAAATACAAATTGAATCAATAACATAAAGTATTTCATTTTCCGGAAGTGTATAAAGTTTTTTTGTTAATTCATTTTCACCATTATAACCATGACTAAATATATCATTCAATTGTAACAAATGAATATATATATAAACTTTAAACTTACATCCAACTTATTGATAGTTTTACATCGTCAATAGCTAGAAATAAACAGAACAATATGTATTCGATATTTAATTGAAATTAATACCTCGTTTCGAAGGATATTGTTGCTTAGGTTTGTTATTTGTTGATTTACGATCCTTAAATAATTCATTAGGTTTAATAATTTCAAAATAATTTTTCGCATGTGTATATTCATCTTGAGTACAAGCGATAAATGTATCTGTTGTTTTCATAATATTAAATAATTTAGAAAAACTTTTAACTTCTATAAATGTGGAATTTAATACAGCAAATAAATTTGTTATATTTTCATTATTTGTATAATGAGAAAGTAAATCAGTGATATGATCTTGTAACCATTCATCGAATGTTTGTGTTATACTTCGATTAAGTATTAAACTTTCATACATATTTAATTTTGAATAAGGTAAGAGATAGATTTGTTCACTAGTTAATGTTGATAATGATGATGATGGCTGTGGTGAACGCCAACGTGGATTAACGGATGATCGGGCATTCCAATAAAGAGATGAACCTGGTTGAGGATGTAGATTTAGACTTGTTTCGAAATCATCAATAAATGCATGATCAATCCAATGATAATTTGTTCGAAAAAATACTCCCGTTGAAACAACATATGAATGATGATGTTGAAATTGACTAATTGAATGAATTTCTTCACCTATTAATGAATAAATATGATTTATACCACCAGTTGATAAAACAAGTTTAGGTTGACGATTGAGATAATTAAGAAATGCTTCCCATGATTTTAATACAAATTCATTCACAGCTACTTTAAGACCACGATGATATGCATCACCAATGCGAAAAAAATTAACTAAAACACCGTGAATTGCACGTTGAGTTATTGATGGTATAACAGCAGCTGGTCGAGCTGTGAATAGATAGATATACCCTAGTAAAAATATTATTAGATCTAAAACTTTTATTTACGTGTAGTTATTGATGAATTCCATTTAAGTGCTGGTGATTTTCCATTTTTTCTCATTGGTGATGGAGTTTTATGCGAATATTGAATTTTTGGGATCGGTTCTGTTCGATTTGTTATTGGTATATTTTTTCTTTCATGTTGTGGTGTTCGTGGTCCTTCTTCTTCATCATCAATAACTAATACTGATGTATGTTCCTCAGAACTACTTCGTTTTATAATACTATCTGCCGAAGAACTTCGTTTTAATAAATGTTGTCGATGTTGAACATGATTTTTGTTAGTATCAGGTGGATTATTAGTAATGGGAAACATTTCTGAAGGGCTAGTTTGTTGAGCACGATTACTAGTAATAATTACTAAAGGTGAAACTGAATTACTTCTTGATTCTTGTGCATCATCTTCTAATAAAATAAAGTAGCAAAATATATTAGAAAAACAAAGTAATAATGGATTTTATACTTTCGGTAAAAAATCTTAATGCTGAATCTTTTATGACAGAAAAATCTAAAGCAGGTAATGATGGATTTGTGTGTTTGGATTTTGAAGTTGGTTGTTGTTGTTGTTGTTGTTGTTGAACAGGAATAGATTTTATTAAAGAGTATGCATGATCGTTATTAATATCATCATCATCCTATGAGAAATATTTCATCAATATTAGACATGCACCAGTTTTCCAAGTCACTATCGATTAGACTATATAACGCTAT